CCTCCCCCCAAAGCCCTTCACATCTGTGAATCCAAATTCCAAAAGGCCTCACTTTCCGATTCATTCGAGCCCGACATTTCGGCCTACGAGTGATCCCATTATTACCATACCTACCCACGACATATCGGAAAATCCCAACACGAGATTTTCCGGTGTCTGAACGAATTGAGGAGGAAGTGTTATAGCGGTATTTATTACAACTAATGGGGATGGCGGCGGGGCCAGTATCGCTGATGGATCGGGCTCAACCGATGGATGAACAGGTGCAAGGTGACGCTGCTGCCAAGGACGCGATCATTTCGTGGTTCCGTGCGGAATTCGCGGCGGCGAACGCTATTATTGACGCCCTGTGCGGGCACCTGGCGCAGCTTCACGGAGGCGGAGGACAAGGATCGGAGTACGGGGCGGTGTTCGCGGCGATCCATGGCAGGAGGCTGAACTGGATACCTGTGCTGCAGATGCAGAAGTATCAATCCATTGCTGAGGTGACGGCGGAGCTGCGCAAAGTGGCCGCACAGAAGACGGGAGGAAGCGGAGCTGATGAGAAGAAGAGAGATGAGTCCGATGAAGTGAAATCCGGCTCTTTGGATGATCAGAAGGAAAAGATTGCCGGGAAAGTGATCGAAAATGTGGGAAACGGCGAAATTGCTGGAAGCGAAGAAGACGACTCACCGGACAGTGACATCACCGATTCAGGTAAGTATTCATTATTTGTGTCGTCTTCCTGTTTGATGTTATGCCTCAGTGCGCCGTGTTTGATCGGTAGGTAGAGATTTTAAAATTTGGTGTGACTCGCTGAGATTCTGTTTCCTTATTAACGCAATAGATCTCCAGTATCTCCGGTAACTTGAACTTAGCTACGTTTGGTGGCTGGAAAAATTAGGAATTCGGCTCCAGAAAAAGGAAGTCGTCGAAACCCAGATTATACTCTGTTTGCTTACACAGAAAAATTGTAACTTTCTCTTTTTCCCAGATTTTAGAAAATTTCCATTTCATCCTTCCTTTTCTCACGAGCCAAACAGAATCATATTGGTTTTTTTTTTTTTTTTTTTTTTTGAATTATTTATAATTTTTGGGGATTGGAAAAAGAATTTTTTAAGGTGTTGGTGATTTAAAATCTCAATCAATTAACTCAAACATCTTAAAATTTAAGTACAAAATAATTGGATGAAGGTCCAGTTCCATATTGATATTTTTTTAAGTAACTCGGTATTAAAAGTTACATTAAATTTTAATTAATTAATCGTCATACCAAACTAAGAAGATTTTTTTTTAATATTTATTTTTTATTTATGAGATTTAAATTTAGTATTTATTTTATGCTGGAATAAATAAGTTGTTGGCAGAATCATGTGTTTTAAGAGTGGGAAAAGATTCTGTTGGGGTGAAGCCGGCGTTACAGTTAGTTTTGGGGTAGCGAATAAGAACTTCCAACTCATTAATTTCGGTTACATCGGGCGGCGTTTTAGTTAGAACCGTCGGATCTTTCTTAGGTTGACGTTATGGGGGTTGCTGGGGATGCCATGTGGGGGATTTGGGGGGGGTTGTTGGGCTTTGACAATTTGTGGATCTGTCTGTCCCCAAAGTAAAACTCCTCCGAGCTCTGCTCAGCTAATTCAAACTGAGTTCACTCGTTTGACCGGAACTGGTTTCCGGGTCAACTCTGTTGTTGTTGTTGTTGTAATTACTCAAAATGGTAGTGTTTGGACAACATGTTTATGGTATTCCAGACAAGGATAACGAACGATTTCTGTACTCCCCTGTTTTCGTCATCTCTTAGGGGAAGGCATTTCTAGGAACTAGGAAAGCTATCACTTTTTTTTGTAGCCGGGGTAAATAAAGAAATGAACCCTTATAGGCACGAAATTGAGATAAAATGTAGTTGACTATATGGTGCAAGTTACTTTAGACACTAAAATATTAACTTTTAAATAAGGAAGATTTATTGAAACTTATTTTCGTCTAAGTGTTTTTATTTTACAATTTAAAACAGTTTGGAATGTAAAATAGTGAAATCATACAAGTATAATACATTATGGTGAGGAAAAAAGAAAAACTCTCCAGCTCAAGTACTCCAAAAAGTTTCATTTTAGAATGCATAATCAATGACTTTTTTATTTGTTGATTATTTTGCTTTTAAAGCATTATCACCAATTACGAAAGAATATAATCAAATTATATTCTGTCATTGATTTTTATGCCAAAAATGTATTTTTCTTAGCCAAAACCAAGCTATTTTTGTGTATGGCTTCCTTGAAAATGTCTTTCAGCAAATTGCAAAATGCTGGACTCTCTAATGAATTTGTTTATGGAATAATAAGTCATGACAGTATGCCCAATTAATATTTTCTAGTAATGCAGGGTCTCAGGAGGTACACCAAACTGGTGAAACTATTGAGCTATGCTCTAACCATGATGAGTGCGATGGACGTCCTTCCCAATTCAAGCTGATGAAAGGTTTCTCAGCAAAGGAGCATGTCAGAGGGCATATGGCGAGTTCTTTCTTTAACAGTTTAATACACATTCTTTCTATAGAGAATACAAGATACAGAAATTGATATGCTACAGTATATGCTACTTTTTTTAAAAATATTTTGGTTTGGATGGAGAGGAAGGAGTTGGAATTCACGAAGGATTAGCTAATAGACTTGTTATCCAATTGGCAGGTGAATGTTGTGAAAGGATTGAAGTTGTATGAAGACATTTTCACTGAGTCAGAGCTGGCTAAGTTGCGTGACTTAGTGAATGAACTCCGTGCTGCTGGCCATAATGGCGAATTATCAGGTTTTTCACACTCTTAAAGCCTTGCAAATTCTTCAATTGGTTTTAGTTATCTTTTCCTTTAGCCTGTTTTTGAACATTATGATGAAGATTGAAGTAGTGAATTCATCTATTATTTGCTTTGTCTGAGTAGATAGTTTTAGTAATTTATTTTCCTTGTCTGGTTAGTTTAAATTACAATTAGAAGTTGCACTAGGCATTTATACTAACATGCTCATGAAGTCATAATCTATTTCAAGGCAATTTAAGTCAGGCATGTAGAGAGCCTAGCGACAGAGTTTAGTTTTAGAAAGCTGACAAGCTGACAAGCCTTATTACGCATTTGAAGGTGACTCTGTCTGCAAGTTTTCATGCCTTGTTTACTTAATGTTAAGTTGCGATGTTTTCTTGGTTTCTCTGAAATCCTGTTTGTCTCAGGTTTTCAAGAGCCATTGAAGAGATTGGCTTAAGATCAAAAGATGATGACAAATTGACAATGATTTGTTGGTTTACTCTTTGTTCCACAATTTCCTAATGAATATTGTTAATGAATATAGATGACACCTTTATTTTGTTCAACAAACAAATGAAAGGAAACAAGCGGGAACTGATTCAGTTTGGTATTCCAATTTTTGGTCAAATCAAGGAGGAACATGAGGGCAACAACCGAACAAGTATGATTCTATACCTGTATTTCAGTGTACATAGTTGGTATTTAAATACACATGTTTCTAGTCCCATTATCAACTTTCTAACTGGCTTTTCATGTTTAACAGTTGACATAGAACCAATTCCAGCTCTTCTCCAGCACGTGGTTGATCACTTGATTCAATGGAAACTAATACCAGAATATAAGAAACCAAATGGTTGTGTAATTAACTTCTTTGATGAGGTATCACTTCTTTTTTCTTTAAAATTGTTTTCCTTTCCAATTGTGTCAATGCATAGCATTTCATGTCATCTGATCCATGTGATCAGCCTTTGATTGTGAATGCTGATTTTATTTTGAAGTAGGAAGTTGTTAAAAGTATATTTCTTTGATGCAGGGTGAATACTCACAGCCTTTTCTTAAACCGCCACATTTGGATCAGCCTATCTGCACTCTTCTCCTTTCTGACTCAACAATGGCTTTTGGGCGCACTCTTACGAGTGATAATGAGGGCAACTATAGAGGTGCACTCACACTTCCACTGAAAGAAGGGTAAAAACAAAACCTTTTATTTTTGCTTAGTGTTCTTGTGATCTTGCCTAGAGAAGTTGTTCCTCTACCATTGCTAAAATGTTTTGCATGTGAAAAATTACTAAGATAGAAGTACCATTTAAACTATTTTTACAGCTCTTAGGCATGGAGACTGAAAGTTAGAAATGCTCATTTGCATGTCAAACTTCAAATAGTATCCCTTTGTTCATAAGTTTATCTGTTACAGAGTGTAAATGTTTCCAAAATCTGTTTCTAAAACACGACTCTATGTCCTGCAGGTCTCTTTTAGTACTTAGGGGAAACAGTGCTGACGTGGCAAGGCATGTGATGTGCCCCTCTCCTATCAAGAGGGTGAGCATCACATTCTTTAGGGTACGCCCTGATTCCAACCAAGGTCAGTTGCCACCAACCAGTCCTCAAGCTGCTGCCATGACACTATTGCAACCAGGCATGCCAGGCCCATATGCAGTGCCAAATGGACCTCTGAATGGCTATGATGCAGCGAATATGACCCCAAAATGGGGAGTCTTCCAAGCCCCCATTGTCATGTTAGCCCCAGTGAGCCCAGTGGTAGTGAGTCCCGGAGGACTTCCTCAGTGTGGTACTGGCGTTTTCTTGCCATGGACTGCAGCGTCAAAAAAACCAGCTAAACATCTTCCCCCAAGAGCCCAAAAAGGAAAACTGCTTGCATTACCACCAACTGTTGAAACACATGCATCCAAAGCCGCTCCACAACCAAGCATCACCATTGAAGGACAAGCAGCTTGAAGTCAGTCTGATACAGCCTTGGGACCAAAGAGAAATGTTGGCAAAGGCATTCTCCCATGCTCAATCAGTCTATAGAAGCTTCTGGCATTGTACAAACAAGGCCAAGTGCTGGTAAAGAAGTTCGTTTTTCTCCATTTTTCCCCTCAGCGGAGTTAGGTTCTAGTGTTTCTACAGTACCCAGTGAACGTAGGGCTTTAGATGTTGCGGAGCATTCAAATTCAACATTGAATCCAACTGTGAATTAGCTCAACTAGAGGCCGGAAATTTGTATTTAAGTTATTTATATTAATCTTTTTCTTACAGACAATAATAATAGTGCTTTTTGTGTTCCTTTTAAAACTAATTGTGTTGTGCTGACTTCACTTGAAATAGATGCGCAGAAGGACGAACCCATTCGAAGACTAGAACTATTCTCAAGATCTTATAATGATGATAATGAACCTCGAAATTGGATACATTACCCCAATCTTTTTTCTCGATTTGGGTCAAAGGAAGACCATCTTTGTATTGATAATCCCTCACCCTAATTTACCAATAAACTGGTATACCATTTCCACTCTGCTCTGTTTGGAAGCCAAGAAAGTTACTGCTACTATAAGGCGTGAATTTCTTAATTCTAGAAACAAGATGATACTCCATTCAAAAAATAGTTTCAAAACTGATATATGAAAGGCCATATTGATATGAACAAATGCAGTTGCTTCAATTTCATTTCAAGCACCAAAAGTACAGTGGTATAAAGATACTTGCATTTCAACCCAAAGGGGGAAACGATTCTCCCCAATACAGCACTTATATGGACAAATATGGAGGGAAGAAAGAAAAATTAAAAGAAAATGATACAATAAATTGACGTTTTTAGGGTAAAACTAAAACATACTTCACATTTAGCATCAAGCCTTAGCTGGCTCATCATCATCTTCAATATCCCAGCTCAAGTCTTCCTCCTCTTCTGCAGCATTCAGCCGCTTCCGCAGATCAGTTATTTTGGGGCTCGAACTTCCACCTGCAGACACTTTCTTATCATCAATGCAGCTCAAATCCTCAATCTCATCCCAACCAAGGTCTTCATCTTCTGGCATTGATGGTTGGCTTGATGTTGATATAACACAAAAGTCACTATCTTTACTATTACTAGGCTCCCCATTATCAGCCTTTCCTTCCAAAGCCACTTTCTCATCGGATTTCAGTACTGAATCTTCCTTATCCACCACAGCAATCTTCTCCACTTGATTCACATTTGATTCACTAACACTAACCTTGTCTTCTTTATTCACATCAGCCATCATCTTGTCTCCCTTCTCCTCAACAACAGCAGAACTAGCTAACTGGGGTTCCTCGAAGACATTCTTTCCCTTTCCAGTCTCAATTTGCTCAGATTCCTCGTTACCCAATTTGTTCTCTGATGAATTGCCTATTGAGTCTTCTTTGGCTTCCAACTTCACAATTTTCTCAGAATATCTGCTACCCATATCTTCTTCCTTCTTTAAATTGGATTTTGGAACCAAATTTCTCTCATCTTCTTCTGCATGCTCCTCCTCATCAACATCCCAACTCAATTCCTCCTCCTCTTTTCTGCAAATTGCTCTCTTCACAAGATTAGCCCTCAAATCTTCAGCTTGCTGAAGCTTGAATACCCTGTAGAAATACCTACACCAGAAAGTATCATGATCAACACTACTTGGTACAACCCTTTTATAGATATTCTTCATTTCCCCATTCTCCTCCAACAATGCCTCAGTTTCCTCCTCCTTCCCCTCCAAAACAAACCCTGATCGCCACTTACTATAATCCTCCAAATCATCAGGCTCCTCAGAGAAGGTATTGATATCGCCCTGAACTGCCCGAACCTGAGCATCAAACCGACTGTACCTTTTCGAGTTCAAGCTCCGTTGAGTGTTTAGGGTATCTGAAGAAGAAGAATCGGATTCGTTATCCTCGGCAAGGATCGCGTCCTTTCCTTGAGCAATGATCTGAGCTGTCCCTTTCAAGACGGAGTTCCCAAATTCATCAAATGCGTGCCCTACCGTCTCCAGCGAGCCCTGCGCCACCTCGATCTCCTTCTTCAGACCCGTCCCGAACTCCTGGAGATCCCGTCGGTAGGTCTCGATCACGGACTCGGATCTGGTAGCTAGAGTTTTGATCAGACTCCCGAAGTTCCACCGACTATTGCTAGGGTTTGGATCCGAATCGGGTTCCTTCGGATGGGAATCGGGCTCAAGGTCTCCGCGCTCGACAGATTCCGATTCCTGTTTGGAGATTGGCGGCTCTGGGTCGTCCGCGAATACAGACTTGAAGAAATTCATAGTGAAATCTTAGGGCTTTTCCAGAATCGAAAGGAGAATTTCAGTGGATGCTAAATTGAAAGGAAAGGGAAACGAAAGCGGAAAAATCAGCGGCGTCGGCGACAGCGGAAATGGGACTGTTGTTAAGTGTGTTCTCCGCTATCCAGCGATGTGGAAACTCTTTTCTCTTGAAAAGTAGGTGAAGGTCTTAACAGTGAAATTATGAGAGAAAATGCTGTTTTACCATTCGACTCAACAAATTGAAACATTGATTTTTGGAAGAAATAGGCCCACATTCTCATCAATAAGTAGTTACTATAATTATGCAGTTTGTCTCAAGCGAATAGTTTTTGCATAATTTTTGGCAAAAGCTCCTCTTTGCACCTTTCATTTATGTTATTTTCACGGTTAACACCTTAAAAATTTTTTTTTTCTATTCACACCCTCAACTTTTTAAAACCGATAAAAAACTTAATATTTTAATGAACCGTCATGCACCGTTAAAAAATGCATTATGTGACACTTAAAAATTGACGTGATACTATATGACGTTAGTAATCCATTGTGGATCCTTTTTTTGATGATGTGACTTATTTTTTACATACGTGGACACCATATATACAGTAGAGCCCATTGCGCGCAATCAACCCCAACTTAAAATTTTCGACATGTTGGCAAGTCCAACAAGGACCCTTTTTAATTTTTTTTTCCTTTCTTTCCTTTTTCCTCTTTTCCTTTCCCTTTCCCTTTCTTCAACTTCTGCAAACCCAAACATCTCAACCAATCTCTACCCTTACTAGTTTCTTCATCATCAAATAGCAAAACCCACAAAAAAAAAAAAGAATTTTTTTTAATTTTTTGCTACTAGGTTCCAAAGAACCCACGCACCAACACCAGGAAACCCCCTTTGAATTATCTCCAATAAAGCTAAAAATTGGAACAAAATCCAAGTAAAAATTCAAGCATTGGAACTAATAGGGGAAAAAAGAACGAAGAAAGCTTACATTGCTACTTTTCTAGGTTTGGTAAACTCATAAATCTCTAGAGGAACTCGAATTTGATCGTTGAGGCGGTGGTGGTGGTGGTGGCACTACGTACATCTCACACTTGTTCCTCAATTTAATCACTCTTCCAGAGAAAAACCACTTAATAAATAGAAAGTTATCTTAAAAAATGGCTTCGAAAGAGAAAAGATCCTAAGGTCATCAGAGAGGGAGAGGAGTGGAGTGGAGGTGAGTCAAAGTCCAATGAGCTAGGAATCGCCTTGAGTCAAAGTCCAATGAGCTAGGAATCGCCAACAAGGCATGAGCTTTTTTCTTTCTAAAAGTAAGAGTGAAGTTTTTTTTTTTTTTTTTTTTTTCATTTGGGTTTGAAGAAAGGGTTGGGTTGGTTAACAGAGAATTTGATTGAGTCATGCTAGATTATTTTTGTTGTTGAAGATGACAATTAGGAACCCATGCCTGGGTTCTAGAGAACCCACGCACTGGGTTCCTTCACACCCAACACACTTGGGTTCGTTGGAACCCAGGCACTAGGGTTCCTTTGAACCCAGTGGTAAAAAATTAGAAAAATTTCTTCTTTTTTTTTTGTGTGTGTGTGGGTTTTGTTGTTTGTTGATGATGAAGAAACCAGCAAAGGTTAAGATTGATTGAGATGTTTGGGTTTGCAGATGTTGAAGAAAGGGAAAGGAAAAGAGAACGCCACATAGTGGACCTACTTATATGTGGTGTCCACATGTGTAGAAAATAAGCCACATCATCAAAAAAAGAGATCCACATTGGATTACTAACGTCACATAGTGCCACGTCAATTTCTGAGTGTCACGTAGTGCATTTTTTAACTGTGTCATGACGGTCTGTTAAAATATTGGATTTTTCACCGGTTTTGAAAAGTTGAGGGTGTGAATAGGGAGGAAAAATTTTGGAAGGTGTTGACTACAAAAATGACATAAATGGAGGGTGCAAATGGGGGCTTTGGCCATAATTTTTTTGTCTATTTTTTTTTTATAATTTAACATGTCATTAAAATGATTAATTTTTTAACTTATATGGATCTGTGATATTAAATGCATCCATTCATTTAATAACATGTGAAACTTGTATATTTGTCTTAATTCGAATTGAAAATATTTTTTTGAAATTATAAAATAAAAACGGGGTCTTTTTTTTTTTTTTTGGTTGTGACTGCATGCAATTTAATGACATTTTATTTATATTATTAATTATGTAATTCAGCTATAAAAGTAATTATGTTTTTAGTTATGAACAGTTTAGAAAAAGAAAGACTTTTATAGATAGAGAGTTAGATGATCCTCAAGAGTTTTATAAAATGAATTTATAATTGTCAACATTATTTTGTAAATCAAATTTAAGATTCAATATTTGTGATTAGTATTTAAAAAAATTAATTTTTTAATATTAAATACATCAAGTTAATGTGAGGGTGTATTTTAAAAATCAATGAAAAAGAGATTAATTTCAAAAGCTAATTAAAAAAAAAGTTTGTCATAAATAAAAAATAAATTTACACCTTTACATTTGTATTTAAAAGAGCTTAGTTCTCTAATTATGTTAATTTTGAAGGTACTTTTACTGTAAATCTTTCACCCCCCTAACAACTTTTTGTTAGTTGTATTGTATATTATAAAGTTTCTTATTTTATAATTATTAAATTGTAAAGTAAAACTTATTAAATAAAAATAAAACTGTAAATATTAGGAATTTACTTCATTTAATAATTAATATTATGTATTCTAAATTACACCAACACCTTTTCTATATCATTTTACTTTTTTAAAACAAACATATTTTTTTTTCTTTTTAAATGTTGATTGCACAACGAGAGACAACTTTCTCTCATTTTTTATCCTACTTTACTTATATATATTATACAACTTGAATTCAAAATTTCTTATTTACAACAAAAAAAGATTACCACTGAATTATTTAACTTATTGATACAAGCATATTCTATTTGTTTTTCCTCAATCTACTTTTATTAAGGACCAAAATTTGGCATCATACTTGTTGACGTGTGGAAA